GCGCCGGGTGCCTCAGCGGCCGGGTGAGAAGCAGGAAGGAGGGTTCAGAGGGAGCGGCCGCGGGTCAGGGCTGTGCTTGTGCCCTCCTGGGGAGGGGGGGCCTGTGTTTTTGGTCGGTGATTCAGAACGATTCTGCTGCTATGACTGTGGAGGCTTGGATATTCCTGGGAGCTGCATCATTGCAGTGCTACTGGAGACTGGTGTTTGGCAAGTGCCACATCGGGGAAGGAAGGTTGACACGGGCAAACACTGACAGTTTTCTGTACAAACAGTTGTGGCAGGAGAGCGCTGAGGAACATGCAGGCTGTGAATACTTGCAGCGGCTCATTTAGGGGATGATTGCCAGGGAAGCAGTTGATTTTTTACCATTCTTGCACAGCTGAAGTGGTACGTGCCAAAGGCTAAGCCGTACGTGCCGAAGGCTAAGCCGTCTTCACGTGGGCAGTTCTGTGGCTCCCAGCCACCTGGAAACACCTGCAGGTGACTTCTACAAGAAACGAATGGTATTGCTACCGTGAGTAAAAATTGAGGAGGTCCCACTAGTTCAAGAACGCGTTTCCAAAACCCTGTGATTTAGAAGTACGAGACTTGTGAGGGTCCATGCTTTGTCTATGCCATCTGTGTTGCTGGTCTCTAAACTGGGTTACACCCAGGTGCCTGCGTTTTCCTTGGGATATTTGTACGGCTGGAGGCCCACGAGGCGGTTGTCAGCCCTCCCCTGGCCTTACTGGCAGCTCCCCGGAGCGTGATCCTCCTGGACTTCATAAAGTTTCTTTGCCACAATGTGGATGGCACTCATTTCATTGGCCCACTAATTACATAAGGATTCTAGGCAGTGAACTTTGAACTTGTTATCTGTGTTATTGATATGTAAAGTTAGGTGAGATAATTTTCCCTATAATTCCCACACCTTTCTTGATTCCTGTGGATGTGCTGCCCATGGCGAGAGTCATCATGACTTCAATAGCTGCTGACCTGTGTTGGCTTCATTTTTGTCGACTCTTCTTTTGATATCAGGCAGTTGCCACAGGCTCCCATGTGCTGCCCCATGTGGATTTATTGGTTTTTATGCATGTACCATATCCTCTCTTCGTATGTCTCCTTTCACAGAAAACTCTTGCTGCATTTCCTTCACATTTTGATTGGTTTTACCAATTGCTGTCTCAGAATTTCTCGGTGAACATGCGTCCTGAAATGCCTTGGGGCATTCCAGTTTGGTCACTCCCTGTTTTCCACAAATCAGGCTGGAGGATTCACTTTCCACCGAGATGTCTGTTTTTCTGCACAGCTGTTATTGAAAAGAGTGTTTTTTCTGGGCTGAGGAATGCCATGTACACGTTTTCAGCCAGAAGCTGGCTTCCTTTGTTTCACCATGGACTGTTCTGTTCAGTCCCTTTGAGGTATCTGAGGTGGTCTGTACCTCTGATCTGTGCACATTTATTAGATGTTTTCTGCATAAGGGGCTACGTACAGAGCAACATCTTTTAAGAACTAAAGCTCTGGGCTGTGTCTTTAGTGGGACAAAACAAACACCCCACACAGAAAATTTTCAGATACTGTTCTGAACATTGAAAATTTCAGTAAGTCGAGTTGTACTTTGATTTGCATTCCAGTCGACAGAATTTGGGCTGTCCTGCCCAGTTACAGCACTGATTATTTAGCAGGTATTTAAACAGACCAGTGCTTTGAGTCTGTTGTTTCAGAATTTCTCTTTTCGTGATGTTTAGATTGGTGAAGTACAAAGTACAAGTTGAGGAACATGCTGGGATTGAGAATGTATTTAGTTAGCTAAAGCACAAAACAGTGCTGCCCAAAAGCAGGAAGGGATACCGCATTTTCTCTCCAGCAGGAAATCTCATGCTCCTTGTTGTACAGCAGCTTTTAACTGGTGCAGCTAGTATGGAGCAGCTTTACTGCTATAAAGTGACCATTCATTGCTCAAATCCAGAGATAATTTTCTTGCTAACTAGATACTGAAGATGCTCTTGCAAGAAGAAGTAACTGTGGGCTCACTAATGTATATGCACCAAATTTTTGAAGAGAAACTGTGTGAATAGGAGGTCTGCTCAGAGGTCTTGTGCCCAGTTTTGGGCTGTAGGTAGAGGGGTCTAAGATGCAGGAAAATTTGAGCAGCAGATGGATTATGACGAGTTCTTGTTCGCACTGACTGCTTTGGTGGAGACTTTCTTAGAGACATGATCCTAAAGGTGGGTGCTAGGTGGGTATCATACTGTCTTGGTATGATAAATCCCAACAAAAATGTTGGGATAAATCCCAACAAAAATGTCTTGGTATGATAAAACCCAACAAAATTAGTCCTTTCTCTTTTGAGGCAGTGGAGGGAGTTCAGTGAAGGCAAGGGCTTGCAGACCTTTTGGGTGGAAGTGACTACTTTTATAATTCTGGGTTTATCATTCGTCCCATAAAGAGGTGTCATGCCAGTTACAAGAGGATGTGACTTCACTTGTGATTTACAGTAATGTTTAAAATTGATTTATACACTGAGGTACTGTTATGTAGTAAAAATATTTCCTATTATTTATAATACTAATATGAACAGTGCAGTATTAACGCTTTCTAGAAGTAGGTGGTTGAGAATCCTGGTTTACAGAAGGTGTATTTTTTTTTGTCAGCCAGTGGGATGAAGGTTTCAGCTAAAATGTGAGGCTGTTCTGGGGCAAGAAAGTTTAGTGTGTGGCTCTTATCTGGGCAGGGAAGGGGAAATTGCTGCAAAATAATTTGGAGAGTGGATTTACAAGCTGGCTCTGTGCTCACTCATAACAGATGCTCACATTACTCTGCTGTGCAAGCAGAATGAACTGAGCTTAGTGAGGAAGCATGGACTGCACATTTATATCCCTCCTCACTGCCTGGCAATGTCTTCCTGAGCAGACAGAACCAAAAACCTGATCTGCTTACGGATTTACCTGAGCTAACCTGGACTGACTTTCCCTGAAGTATTCCCATGGCTATGCCCAAGCAACTGAATGCTGTTTTTTTTTTCTTTCTGTCTGTAGGAAAACCGTCCGATCCCAGAACCGGGTCCCAATGGTAGGTCTAGAGATGACTGCTTCTGACTGCTTTCTTTACTAATGTCTGTCTTTTTTCATTCGCTTTTGTTACTCCTTGATATTACAAAGAGATAAGATATTTCCAAGACAGTGTAAAATAATCTAAAAAATAATGTGTGTCTGAAATAGTGCTGTGTTTCCACTTGAAAAGAAGAACTGGAGCAGTGACAGATGCACCCTTTATCTGGCTTTTGCTGCTTCCTAGTTCATCAGTTCATGTATTTCACATTAAACAGCTCTTGGGACATGTCAGATGAGCTTAGTGCAGACTAAATATTAATAGGGCTGGTATATGGGCTGGTAGGACTTTGATTCACTATCTCTCCAGGGCTGAAATTGTGGTTTAGGGAGAAGGAAAGATTAAATGGACTTGCTCTTTTATTTTTGCTCCAGTGATAGTCATGCCCTTCTTAGATTATATTAGTTTTTGTTGACAGGGCTCTTACCATATTTTAGGCTTTCCTGATTTGTAAATCCTGGTGTAGTTTTGTCTTTAAGCAGGCGTCTCATGAATATGCCATCCATCCTAATGCATGCATGTGCAGATCTGGTACATTTATTTAATGCAACTAAATCTGGATGTTTCAGTGCTGGCTTGGCCTTTGTTGTGGGGCTCAGGGACCGCATCCATGTTGCTCTCCCAGTGTCTGAGAAGCTTTTCTACAAGGGACCTTTCTTCCTTTTCTGACAGAGGTCCTCCTGCGGATGCATTCTGTTGGGATCTGTGGGTCTGACGTTCACTACTGGCAGCATGGTCGAATCGGGGACTTTGTCGTGAAGGACCCCATGGTCTTGGGACATGAAGCTTCTGGGACTGTTGTCAAAGTGGGATCAGGAGTGACTCATCTGAAAGCAGGTAATTGTAATCAAAACTGTCTTTATTTGTTTTCCTGCTAGGGAAACAAGGGTAGTGAGGCACTTGAACAGGTTACCCAGAGAAGCTGTGGATGCCCCATCCCTGGAAGTGTCCAAGGCCAGGCTGGATGAGGCTTGGAGCAACCTGGTCTAGTGGAAGGTGTCCCTGCTCATGGCAGGGGCGTTGGGACTAGATGATCTTTAAGGTCCCTTCCAACCCAAACCATTCCATGTTTCTATGATAATCAGTTCCTGAGAACGTGTTCATAACAGGCTCTGCTTTTTTGTTAGGTAAATTTATCTGATGTTCTGAGCTGTGAATTGCACTGCGTGACCTTTTCCCTCTAAGAGTGTCACCGTGCTGCTGTTAATCGCCCAGCTTGGCCACTGTAGTTTACGTTTTTTCTTAGGTATGCTTTATCTTTGGTTATTTCTTATGTATGCTTTATCCTGAGATATCTTGATATCCTGGGATATCTGGTCTGATTTTTTTTTTTTTTAATGCAGAGCAGAATGTATGCTGGTACAAATTGCCTTTTGTAGAAGCTAGATAAAGCTTCAGATACCATGTACTTGCCCTTGCCAACAACCTGCTGTTAATGTTTCTTCTCTGTGTGTGTTTTTGAAGGAGCAAATGGCCTCCTGCAGTGGAGAGAGGTCACTGGAGCAACTGTACCAGGCCCCATGGTGTGACCTCTAAAGTTGCATGTGCTCATGAATGTCCTAGAAAATGGGCTGAGCTGTAAATTTTGCAAAGTTTGCTATTAACAGCAACTTAGGCAGGGTGGAGTGGACACAGGAGAGCTAGCAAGAGTTACAGAGAGGGTGCCTGGGCAATAAGATGCAGATGAAATTCAGTGCAGATGAAGTGGTTTTCATGCCCAAAGAAACAAAAACAGCTTCATATCTAAAATGATGGGCTGATCATCACTGCTGAAAAGAGAGACCTTTGGATCTGACACAGTGCATGGGAATGTTGGCTCAGTAATGGTGAAAAATGCAAATCAGCATTAGGAAAGGGACAGAGACTCAGTCAGAGGACATCATTGCACATTTGGAGCTCTGCGTGTAGTTCTCGTCTCCTTCTTTCCAAAGGGATATAAAAAAAGTGAGGAAGTTTCAGAGGAGATGACAAGATTTGGAGCAGTGTCTTTATCACAAATAACTAAGCTCGGAGCTGGAGAGACAACTCAGGGGCATGTGATACAGGTCTGAAGTCTCTTGGAGGGCAGGGAGAGGGTACATAAACACTGCCTGGTTCTCTGGTTCCTCCAATACAAGAACACGGGACAGTGGGAGCCAAGTGCAGCAGTCACCGAGGATGTAGCAGAACTGCAGGCCTCATTGGCAAAGGATGATGTGGATGCTCAAAGTTTACGTGGTGGAAGGGGGTGGAGAAGTTGTTGAGGGTTAATAAATAGAAAGAAACCACGTGCAGCTTAGGAGGCCTCACAGCTGAGTACAGTGGGAGGCTGGGAGAACATTCAGTATGTGCTTGTCCTGCTCCTCTCACCTTCAGACATCCCCCATTGGCCATATCACAGGCGGTGTAGTAGGCTAGATGGGTCTTTACTTCGATCCATCTTCCTGCTTGTCACTGTGTCTGACTGAAAGCCTGTTGGTAGAGAGCTGCTCTGGGAGATTTGGCATTGATTAGCTTCCTTTACCAAATAAAAAGGGCTGTCTTGTGTCCCCTGTGTACTTGCAAGTTGCTCTGTGATCACACCGTTGTTTTCTTTAGTCCATCCTGCCTCGTGATTGCAGTTAAATAATTACTCTTTATCCTGCAGCATGTGTCCTTCCAGCAGCCTGGACTACTCCGCTGTTGCATCAAGGTGTCTCTGTTCCCCACTAAGTCCTGCCTGACTCCTGCACCATAAACTTCCTTCCCAAGGAACAGCTTTTTTCAGCTGGCAGTGTGGTGGCCAGCAGAGCTCACCTGCTTTTTCCTAATTTCCTCTTGCAGTTACTACAGATTCGGGAAAAAATCTGATCACCATGGCATTGCCTGGCGTGAGGGCTGCCTTTTCATCCGCTAAGGTTTAGCGCAAGGCTGCTGGGGAGAGGTTTGTATGTGACCGCCCGCCCTTCTGCTCTGGGTCTGTGCCTCTGGAACTCCGGCTCTTTTCAAGTTACTGTGACCAACTTGGTGATGAGGCCTCTGTGAATGTTAAGAGCTGACCTGGTGTGTGCAGCGTGATCTTTCTCAGTGTATCACATGCTCCTCTTGTGCCAGGGCTTCATGCTGTCTTGTTGGGTGCTACTCGTACCTATGTGTCCGCCTTCTTCCCGAGTAACGCCATCTGCTTTCACCCTGGCAGGGGATCGAGTGGCCATCGAGCCCGGTGTCCCAAGAGAAATGGATGAGTTCTGCAAAACTGGCCGCTACAACCTGTCTCCGACCATCTTCTTCTGTGCGACGCCTCCTGACGATGGGAACTTGTGCCGCTACTACAAGCACAGTGCCAGCTACTGCTACAAGTTAGTCCATGCTCCCTCTGCAGAAAAATATATACTCCCTGGGGGGGGATTAGCTGAAGCAATTGCCTCTTGTCCCTTTTGAGTATCACAGTGAGCACTCTTTGCTTGAACACAACAGGTTTTATTGCTTTCTGATCCATTAATAACATGTCTAAGGCTTGGATGGCAGCCACTTTGCAGAGGGTTTGTCAGGCAGGTGTAGTTTTTCCCTTCTGGTGACAGACATAAACAAACATTTCTTGCATGTTTCCTGGGATGTCATGATTGTTTTACACTTTAATTATTTTCCTTTTCCCATTTGTTCCCTGCTCTTTGGTTTTTGTTTTTTGGTTTTTTTTGCTGTCTTTTTATATCCTTGCCTTCTTAGCACAGTTCCTAAAGGTCTTTGTCTGATTCTTTGAGCTGAGCTAGCTTTACTGCTGCTTTTCAGGAAGGACCACATCAGCTGCTGACATCTTGCTTTGTCATTTGAAACAAAGTCATCCTACTTAGAACAGGAACAGAAAGCAGTGTCCCTGCTAAGCTGCATTTTTTGTGTGGGGCTGAGTGGCCGTACTAAGCTGCCAGCATTACACATCTGTTTTCATATCCAGTTCAGCGAACTTGAGTATGTTCTGGATTGTGGCAGGACTGACACATTTGCTTAGAAATGTGGCTGTGCTTAAATACTCTGGCAAATATGCGGGAAACCCGGATAAATGTCTGCAACGTTATACCCACATAAGTGCGTTTATGCAAGGAGTTAAAAATTGTCTAAGTGGCCCCCTGAGACTCCCCTGTGGAGCTTGTTCTTTATGTCTCTGTATGGAGCTGGTACTTCCATGAGCAGGGATGTCCTTGGGATTGATCTCTGGGGTCTGCAGAGGAAATGTTCAGGATCAAATCAGTTGGAAGGAGGCACCTGAATGCTCTGCTCCTGAGAGTCCTCAGGCAGGAAGCTCCTTTCAGAGTGGATCCCCAGCAACTGCTGTCAGGGTGAGATGCTGCTCTGGATGGGACTAACCTCGTACAGACCAGTTGTCACTGATTTCCTGCGTGTTGTTAAAATTTTCTGACAACATCACAAGTTTTTCCTTGGGAGGAGGTGGCTGTTTTGTAGCTGACATCTTCTAGGGTTTTGCTTTTTCCTCCGATTGGAGTAAATATTACTTTGGCTAATTTTTTTTTTTGTAACCTGTGAGATGCAAAGCCTGGATTTGGTGTGCCCCATTTCAGATCAGCCATGCCATGGCTGTCTCGTGCAGAGCAGATTCCGTAGCATGAAGTTGCTCTTCCAGCACAGATTTGCTAAGAAAAGATGATGGCTGAGCTCAGTGGGCTCTCGCATATTTGGGGCAAGTGTTGTCCGTCCTTCTGCAGGCAGACAGACTCTGTTTTGGGTACTTGCAGTAATTTGGTGGAGCTGGAATTGTACCGCAAATCTGCCTTCCCCATTGACAGGGCAGTACCCAGACCCAGTAGGAACAGATGCCAAACTCTCAGGCAACTGAACCCTCGGAGTCAGCTCTTCAGTGCCTCCTGGAGATAAGGGACAGATAGACATCTTACAGCTGCCTTCCCACAACTGTCAGTTCTGTTACTTTAACTTTGTGTTGGCCTGCCTGAGATCTGACCTCAAGCTTCCCAGGGTTTTCAGAAAGACTTTCCTTGCAGGCACAGCTCCCAGCTGTGTGAGAGCCCACGCTGGTGGCTTTCTGGAGGGCTGCATTGTGGGGCTGGGATTTATTTCTGTCTGCAGTTCGGAAGGGTTTTACCCCCCTTCTAGTTTTCTTCCATCACTTACACTACCTGCATCATGGTTCTGTTCCTGTCCAAAAGGTGTTTGATACCCACTGTACGCATTTCCCCTGACTGTTGGGAGGGTGAGGGCTGGGACCAGTGTAGTGGTACATCAGGGGAGAATGTCCAGGGTGTGATGGGGAGACCTGGATTTGGCTACTTTTGCTTTATGTGACATCGCCACTGGCAGCAAGATGTTTCCTACAAGTGTGGAGCTGAATGATTCAACCCAGAAGAGGGGTCTGGGAGCTCACTGGGCAGCCACAGGGCAGCCTTTGGGGTGGTGCATATGCAACTGTGGGGTTTATTCCAAAGGGAATGAGCAGCAAAGGGTTAACTCGCCAAGTACTAGAGAGCTGGTGCGTGGAAGTTTGTGGGTCCCTGTGTTTGGTGCGTAGGCAGACCTCACTGGTGAATGGTTCGGTGTACTTGATGCTGCTTCAAAGGAGGGAAGGAGGCACTGTAGCCTCTTGAAATGCCTTCCAGCCCTGCGTTTCTCAGACCAAGGATCAGAGTCTGTTTTGTCACTGTGATGTAGACCCACGTTTGGTCTTCGAGTGTCACAGCTTTCCCCATCACCCTCATAAACCTGTTTGTGTCTGGTTCTTGCAGGCTTCCAGATAATGTCACCTTTGAAGAAGGAGCCCTTATTGAGCCTCTTTCAGTGGGAATCCATGCCTGCAAAAGGGCGGGAGTCACTCTGGGAAGCAAAGTCTTCGTGTCTGGCTCTGGTACGGTGAACATTTCGGTCCTTGGGTTCTCTGCCTGCTGCGGCAGTGACGGGGATGGATAGGGTGCAAGCTATGCTTCTAGACTTCGCTGTGAGTGTGGGTCATGGCAGAGTTCCAGGGATGCCGAGGGGGCCCTTGAGGCTGTCCTTGCCTGTGCTGCACTACAGTGCTGCATTTTGAGCAGCCCTGATGCAGTGTCTGGGTGTGCTGAGCCTACCAGCTCGAGGGAGCAGAGGAGTGGGTGGTGTTTTCCTTGCAGAGTCCTTCATGTAGTAATAGCTGCTTTCTCAGCAGCTGGTCTCACTGCTCTGGGATCATGGTATTGCTGTTATGCCAGAGCTGCCCACCTGGAAACACAGGCAGAGCCTCCTTTAGCCTGGGAACAAGCTGAGCTCTGGGCATGTTCAGAGCCTGTGGCTGGTGCTGTCTGGCAGTTGTATATATTCTCTTTCTCCACTCTGTACCCAGGACCAATTGGCCTTGTTAACGTGCTTGTCGCTAAGATGATGGGTGCATCGGCTGTGGTAATTACAGGTAAGTCCTTTTCACCCTTAAGAGTGTGCCTGTTTCTCACAATACTTATTATTTCTCCAATAATCTTGGACTCGTCCCACATTATTTGTTCAAGGTAACTTCTGGGGAAGGCAGCCCAAGCATAGTGGACATGAATGGAGTAGTAGCGTGCCCATCTGCAGGGAATCCTAATAAATGCCTCATTCCCCTGGATAGACTTTGGTCTTTGCACTAATTGGGATCTGTAAGAAGGTGAAGGTTGCAACTGGTGCTTCTCCGCTGGGTTAGCAGACCAGGGTAATAACTTCTGCTTCCTGGCACAGACAAGTTATGTGGGTGGAGTAGCTGTGGTGCTTCAGGGAGGACAAACCAGAGCCTAATGAGTGGTCCTTGGACTAGCCTAGGGTCCTTTTTCAGACTTTGAGCAGGTCTTTCAGGAAGAGGCAATGCATCTGTATGACAAAGCTCCAAGTTACAGAAGTCCTGCTTGCTCCTGGTGACTCTGGTCACTGACTATTTTCCTTTTTTTTTTTTTTTTCCTCTCCCCACGTTTTGAGCTCTCTAAAAGTCAACTTAATGATTTGCCTTTGGCTCATAGGCTCCTTGAGGATAAGGTTTTGCCTTCCCTCTAGTGCTTGTAGACCTTGATTATGTCTGCTTCTAGTCTTCACCTGGGCATGCAGACGAGGCCACACAGCGTATTTTATACCCTGTTTGGATCTGTTCTTGGAGGTTTGCTCTGAGCAGTTGTTTTTCCTTCCTCTTGTAGTAGGTGATGACAGGTCAGCCACACCATCCTTCTCTAGTTCTCTTCTGCTGCCCTTCTTTCTGCTGTCCTGCAGGGAGTTCATTTTCCACTGGTTATCCACAGTGGCTGAAATGGCCTTTCCAGGGTCCCTGCATTTCAGAAATGGGCCTTCCTTGCATAACTGTCCCCTGGGGGTTTCTAGTCCACTGCCAGTTGCAATCATGTGTTTGTCTAGTTGCGCCTGGAAAACTGCTGTGGATGGAGATCGCACCTTTCTGGGTACTTAAGCCACTCCCTAATGAAGAAGCTTTTTCTGAGATCCACTCACAAACTGTCATTTGTGAGTATTTCCCCTTGTATAGTTTGCAACAACTGAAATGTGTCTCCATCGTCTTTGCAGCTGCCCTTCTGGTTATTGCAGGGAGCCGTTCAATCTTTGCCCTGCTAATCCAGCCCAGCTCCACCTCTTCTCAAAAGTCAGGCTTTTCTCTGTGTAGCTTGCCCAGAATAATTGAGGGCTGGAGTAACCTCAGGAGGTTTTCTGGTTGAAATTTCCAGCTGGGGTTTGGACAGGGCCTGTAAGTGGTGTTTCCACTACTCTTTGATCCTTCTGAGCAGTGGTAGCTGGACGGGATGGTTATAGGTACGACTAGACGAGGAGCACAGGTTGCTGCAGTGTTTTTGGGCCAAAACCCCAACATGGACCTTTCAGAAGGCATTACTCCACTTCCCACACTTCAGGCCAGGTGTATTTTTGACCTTTCTATTACTGTGTTTCCATGTTCGGGTGGAGAGACAAAATTCAGGTCCCACCCTCTTACCTTTGCGGAAGCATCCTTCAGTGGTAGCTCATGCCAAATCTGAAGGGAGATTATTGCCTTCTCCTCCCTAAATCCTCTTGCTGCTGAATCCAGGACATTTTTTGCTTTGCTGGCCCCACCCTGCAGGCGTGTGCTGGGTGGACGTGATCAGTCCAGACCTTAGATTTTGCGAAGTGTTGTCATTTGAGGATGATGGTTCCTATAGCAGGAAAAGCAACTCTGTCTCTTGAATCACATCTGAAGAACCTTGCTACCAAACTGGTGCAGGGCTGGAGGGTGACCCAGTTCTTGGGTGGGGAAGGGCTTGGTGAGCTGGCAGGGGTTGGTGGGGCTGAGGCTGCTGGGTCACCCTGCTGCCCCATCCCCGGTCCTGCCTGGGTGTGTTCTTCCCTGTAACACCGGGAGCTGCTGTTGCCTCGGCCTGTGGACTGCTCCTGGGGACCTTTGGCAAGCAGGTCTGTATAGCATGTACCAGAGGGCTCCAGATGGCCACAGGAAGTTCGTAGTATCTGGTTTGTAGGGTCAATAAGCTCAGCTATATGGAATTAACCCCTTCTTATCTTTATGCCTTGACCTAGGTAATGATCCTGACCTGTAGACATCTCCCACCTGAGAGGTGTTTGGCTGAGATGCTCAGAGACACCCATGGAGGTGCTGTCCCTGGTCAAATATTTGTATGTGACGTGAGCTGAGGAATGGGTTTAGTTTGGCTCGTTGCCGCTGGGGATTTTGCTGCCCTTTTCAAGGAACTGCTTTTTGTATTGGCTTTAGGAGCCAACACCTGTTAGGTGACTGTCTGCCCACAAAGGCTCTCTTGTACTTTGCCACCAGATTCTTTGAATTCATTGCCCACAGTTTTTATGGTGTGTTTGTCTGTGAAGAGCTTTGTCTGCACAGCACTTAAGGCTTTAAATGTTTGTGTTTGTTTTGAGAAGCCGCACACAAATACAGAAATATCTAGAAGAGCTTTGTCCTGACCTGGGGAGAACTCATCTCCTACGGCTTCTGTGGTGAGTGTCTTTGGCACACCTGGAGTCATGAATTTTGGAAAGTTACATCTGCTGAGTGGTTGGGTCCCTTCTCTGGAGCTCCTGAAGAGCGGCTGGCACTGTAGCTAGAGACTAATGCTCAGCCCTGTCATCGTGGTTTAACCCCAGCTAGCAACTAAGTACCACACAGCTGCTCGCTCACCTCCCTCCTCCACAAGGTCCTCCACAGCTGTATCTTGAGTCTCAGTCTGCTTTTCATGCTTTGGTTATGAGTATTCTTCTTAGCATAACCAAAACATAGCCTCATAGTAGCTACTCTGAGGAAAATTAACTCGATCCCAACTAAACCCAGCACACCTGCCCTTCCAAAGAATTGTGTGCACCAAAGCTTGCCTTTCCTCCCAGATAAGGCAGGTTGCCTGATAAAAGGTATTAGTGCTTCTGATAACCTTTGCTCTTTTCCCTGAAGTGCTTTATGCCTGGCAGGCTAATGTTTTCCCTTTTGAGGGGGAGTTTGATGTATTCAGTGGGCTGCAGTTGGGTGCAGAAGTTCCGTTTGTTTCATGGGTCCTCATCTACTCTTCCCTAAGGTCTGTAGCTTTTTCCACTCCACTGCTGAGCAGGTGTGACTGATATTTATGGGAAACCTTCTGTCTTGCTCTGGATGTTGTTGCTCCGAAAAGCTGTTTTTCTCCTTAGGGGCATGTAAAAGAGCAGCCTTATTCCCCAGCAAGTGAAGTGACAGTTTGGTAATTCATATGGCAGTCTTGCCTTGCTCTGTCTGCCACTAAAGGTACACTTAGTAATTCATAGAATCACAGAATCAGGGAAT